CGGGGTCGCTTCAGGTTTTGGGATAATCAGGCGCCCACGACCGGTCAGGACGTGGCCGGCGGGGCCATCTCGAGCATCGGAGGAACATGGACCAAGGTGGGTGCGTCACTGGCTGCTGGCACAAAGATGAGGATCGACACACACACACACACGCATACACACTTGGTGTCTGTCTGTCGTTGCCCGCTGTGTGCGTGTGTGCAGGTGGACAAGTCAGTTTTCTTCAACAACAAAGCCTCGAACGGAGGGGCCATCGGTAGGCACATGACACACCACACCACACCACACCACATCACACCACACACACCATTGACCCTCCCATCCACCCACCCACCCACCCACCCCTACACACACTGATGCGTGGATGTATGTGGTGCAGGCAATCTGCACAACCATCTTGAGGTGACCAACAGCTACTTCCTCGGCAACGCGGCGAGCGGCATTCGGGGCAACCCCGGCCAGGGAGGCAACGGCGGCGCCATCTCCATCGACGGCGTCGACAACGTCATGAAGTTCTGTGGCACCGTCTTCGCCGAAAACACAGCCAACTCCTTCGGTGGCGGCATCTTCAGAGTGCAGGTACGCACGCGAACACAGCACTTAGAGATTTGCCTTTTCCTCACACACCACACCCTTGCCGATCTGCGTGTGTGTGTGTATGTGTGTGTGTGCAGAACCGGGGCAGTGCGCCAATGGAGCTGCTCAAGTCGATCTTCTACAAGAACGTCATCATCGAGGACGACGAGCAGGGCTTCGCCGCGGGGGCGTACCTGCAGCTGGGGCCCTACAGCATCAAGGACGTCATCTTCAACGGCAACAAGGCCAAGGGCTACTCGGCCTTGTTCATCGGACCCAACTCACAAAACGTCGAACTCACCAACGTCGCCTTCGTCAAGAATGTCGCCACAAAGGGGCTTGCCGCCGGTGAGGGAGTGAGCGAGCGAAGGGGTGGGAGGGAGGGAGGCATCCCTCGTGGGACGTGACCATGTGACATTGTCTGGTGTGTCTGTCGCTGTGCCTGCAGGTGTGGGCATATCAGGCGGGACCAGCGGCATCATGAACAAAATGACCTTCTTCCAGAACAAGGCGCTGGAGGCATTCGCTGCCGTCTCGACCGGTGAGTGAGTCGAACACACACACACACACACACATGGTTGGTGCGGCGCGAAGTGTCACCTGCACTGTGTCTTATTGTGTCGTGTGTGTGTGTGTGCACAGGCGGCCAGGATTACAAGTTGTCGAACTCTGTGATGACCAAGAGCGACGCCGGCAACCCCTGGCCGCCCACCGGCTGCAAAGACACCTTCCTGGAGGGCGGCAACAACTACCAGGTACCCCTATCCTCTCCTCCCACACACAATCCATACCACTCCGCCAGCCACCCATGTGTGTGTGTGTGGTTGTGTGTGTGTATGTGTGTGTGTGATTAGGACTTTGACAAGCCCAAGGACGTCCAGGGCCCCGACCAGCAGTGCTCGCCGAAGGCCAAGGACTTCAAGAAGTCCAGTGGCACCAGCAAATGGATCACCGGCACGTGCCCACAGGTACCCTCGGACACACGAGCGGGTGGATCAGTGGATGGATGGATGGATGAATGGACACAATAGAGAGAGACGCAACATTTTCCGCCGTGCGTGTGTGTGTGTGTGTGTGTGTTGACGCCTGCAGATGTACGTGAAGCGCAACAAGAAGTCTGTGGCCTGGGGCGCCCGCTGCTGGTCCATCCCCAAGTTCCGTGTCGACGGCAAGCACCCCCAGAAGCGTCTCGTCCTGCACATCGACGTCCAGGACGCCATCAAGAACGGCTTCGACAAGACCAAAGCCACCAAGCTGCGCAACCTCGATGAAGACGACAACGGCGATGAGGACCAGGAGGAGGAAAAGGAGGAGGAGGAAGAAGATAATGGCAACGGTGAGGAGGAGAGTGAGGGTGAGGATGAGGATGATCCCGTTGATGAGCTCCCCGAGGGGGCGATGCCCCAAGGCGAGGCGGAGGCCGCCGACGCACCCGAGCCCGAGACTCCCGACGCTGAGGAGGAGGAGGAGGAGGAGGAGGAGGCCGAGGCGCCCGAGGCCGAAGGTAGGTGACCCTACCCACCCCATCTCATGACATGACTGGTGGCTCTCTTGTGGTGTGTGGCGTCAGATGGTGCCGGCGACGAGGAGGCTGCAGAGGAGGACCCCGAGGCTGACGAGGAAGAGGTCGCCGAGACACCTGAGGCCCCCGAGGGAGCAGATGCGGCCCCCGAGGAGGAGCCGGCAGCAGCAGTCGCAGCAGGCAAGGGCAAGGGCAGGGCCGCCCTCGATGAGGCCACATCCGGTACATCACGAACGCATCACAAACACACACACACAGAGAGAGAGAGAGAGAGACGAACGGGCTTGTGCGTTACCTTCCTGGCTGGCTGCCTGTGTGCAGAGGTAGTGAATATGTTTGTGTCGGCGACGGCCGAAGTGTATGGGTCGACGCAGCAGGCCTTCAAGTTCGCCACACGCGGGAAGAAGATTGTCGACAAATGGGACCTCGACGTACGCCACAGACTCAGCCGAGCAAAGACACACACACACAGAGAGAGAGGGAGAGAGCCAGGCCTCCCACTATGTGTCGCGTCGCGTCTTGTGTGCACGCGTATTCAGGCGTTCTTGTCGAAGCGCATCAACCTGACAATGGCCAAGGAGGAGCAGGTGGGAAGGGGGGGTGGCTGTGGTGAGGAGAGGGACGAAAACACACGTGTGTGTATGTATGTGTGTGTAGGCCGAGCTCCTGGCCCAGCTGGACAGCGTCACCCCCAACGGCAAAGTGAGCTACAGAGAGTTCCGCAAACCCTTCCAAGGAGTACTGCCCGGTGGGCGAAGACGACACACACACACACAACATGGATGCCTCTTTGATGCAACCATGTGTCCTTGCTTGCTTTGTCGATCTGCAGACAATGCCCGTCCGGTCTTCGCCTGCCCGAAGCCTCCCGTCGTGCTGAAGACCGCGGCCGGCAAGAACATCTTCGAAAAGATCTACCGCCTCTTCCCGGCCACTGACGAGGAGACCTTCGATGAGAACCTCAGCTATACCGTGACCATCCAGAAATTCGACGCCAAAGGCACGAGATTACACACTTACACACATGGCGCCATGATGTTGCTGGTTGACCTCTGGCGCTCTCTGTCTCTGTGTGTGTGTGTGTTGATAGGTCTCCAGCTGGTGTACCAGCCCGACTACGACAAGCGTGTGCTGGGCCTCCTGTGCACCAAGGGTGTCGAGGCGCCGTCGACCGTCACAGCCTCGCTCGCCATCACCGTGTCTGACGACCGCAAGGTGCACGCCGCCAAGCCCACGGTGTGCAAGGTCAGACTCGTGTGCACGGCGGCTGCCGGCAAGGGCAAGGGCAAAGGAGGCAAGGGCAAGGGCGGCAAGGGCAAGCCCGAAGACGCCCCTGCGGACGACACCGCTCCCGAAGCCGAGGCCCCCGAGGCGCCTGAGGCCCCCGAGGAGGCGGCAGCCGGCAAGGGCAAAGGGGGCAAGGGCAAGGGCGGCAAGGGCAAGGGTGGCAAGGGCAAGGGCGAGCTTCGTAGCCTCACGGGCTACAGCTACGGCTACGGCTACGGCCTTGGCGGCCCCAGGAAGACTGCGAAGGGTACGGAAAGCGCAGAGAGGGCGGGATGGCCACTTCGATGGAAGCCGCTGGTGTGTTTGTGTGCAGAAATAGTGGATATGTTTGTGTCGGCGACGGCCGAGGTGTATGGGTCGACCGAGAAGGCCTTCAAGGTGGCCGCTCGCGGCGACGAGTTCGTCGACAAATCCGACCTCGAGGTAAGGCTAGAGCAAAGCGGTCGCTGCCAGATGGCTAATGTGTGTGCGTTGTGTGGGTCCGCGCGGTCCATGCATTGCACAATGAATGCAGCACTTTCTGGCGAAGCGCATCAACATGACGCTCAACGTGTACGAGCACGCCAAGCTGCTGACCGCCTTGTCCTCCATGACAGAGCCCAAGCTTGACTACGCCGTCTTCGAGAAAATCTTCAAGGGCAAGCTACCAGGTAGAGCGACGTCCATACCGACTCCACGCCATTAACCACTGCTCTGCGTGTGTGCGTCAATCAGATAATGCCCGTCCCGAGTTCAAGTGTCCCAAGAGCCCCGTCGTGCTGAAGGCCACGGCCGGCAAGAACACCTTCGAGAAGATTTTCCGCCTCTTCCCGGCCACTGACGAGGAGACCTTCCACGAGGCCCTCAACTACACCGTCAAGATCAACAAATTCGACGGCAAAGGTGCGGCAGCAGCCGCTGACACACGACCGTGGCCCCCTTATCTGTTTCATCGGCCTCTCTCTCTCTCTCTGTGTGTGTGTGTGTGTGTGTTTTGATAGGTCGCAAGCTGGTGTACCGCTCGTCCTACGACAAGCGTGTGCTGGGCCTCCTGTGCACCAAGAAGGTCAAGACCCCCTCCTCCGTGACAGCCTCGCTCGCCATCACGGTGGTCGACAAGAAGAAGAACAAGCACGCCGCCAAGCCCACGGTGTGCAAGGTCAAGCTCACCTGTGAGGCCGCCAAGTCCAAGGGCAAGGGCAAGAGCAAGGGCAAGAGCAAGGGCAAGAGCAAGGGCAAAGCAAAGGGCAAAGGCAAGAGCAAGCCCAAGAAGCCCAAGCTCCGCAATCTCCAAGACGAAGAAGAGCAAGAGGAGGATGAACCCTCCTACATCGAGGCACCAGAGGAGGACGAGGCCGACGACGAGAGTGAGGATGATGCCGTCGACGAGGCCCCTGAGGAGGCCGAGACTCCCGACGCTGAGGAGGAGCTGCCCGAGGCCGAAGGTAGGTGACCCCACCCACCCACCCCATCTCATGACATGACTGGTGGCTCCTTTGTGCTGTGTGGCGTCAGATGGTGCCGGCGACGAGGAGGCTGCAGAGGACGACCCCGAGGCTGACGAGGAAGAGGCTGCCGAGGCACCTGAGGCCCCCGAGGAGGTGCCGGCAGCAGCAGTCGCAGCAGGAAAGGGCAAAGGCAAGGGCAAAGGAAAGGGCAAAGGAGGCAAGGGCAAGGGCGGCAAGGGCAAAGGCGCCGCCGATGAGGCCGCATCCGGTACACACAAGGGAGGTGCACGACCCCCCCACCCCCCACCACAACAAGCCCCATGAGTGGACTGCGCGTGCATGGTGGATGGATGGATGTGTGTGAACGTAGATGTGCTGGGTCTGTTCGTCAACACCACGGCCGCCACCTATCCGTCCATCAGAAAGGCCTTCATGATGCTCGCCCGGAAGAAGAAGGTCTTCGACAAAACCGCACTCTTCGTAAGCACACACACACACACACACAAACACACAAACACACAAACACACAAACACAAACACACACACACAAACAAGCCGCTTGACACGCACTGACCCCTGTGTGTGTGTGGGTGTGTGTGTGTGTGCAGGGTTTCCTGACGAAGCGCGTCAACCTGACCCTCACACGTGACGAGCGGGCCGAGCTGCTGGCCCAGCTGGACAGCGTCACCAACAACGGCTTAGTGAGCTACAGAGAGTTCCGACAGCCTTTTGTGGGCATCCTCCCAGGTAAGGTACCTTAATGCAGCAAGAGGGAGGGCAACGCATGGATGGCCACGCAAGCCCTCTCCCTGTCTGCTGCACTGTGCGTGCGCCACTTCAGATAACTTGCCCCCGGTGTTCGCCTGCCCGACGCCTCCCGTGGTCCTGAAGGCCTCCGCGGGCGGCAATGCATTCGACAAGATTTTCCGCCTCTTCCCGGCCACCGACGAGGAGACCTTCCCTGAGGCCCTCAACTACACCGTCACCATCGAGGAATTCGACGGCGAAGGCACGTTATTGCACATTCACAGCCGCCCATCTATTGTGTCTCACTCACAGCCGCCTATTGCCTCTCATTGGCCTTTCTGTTTCTCTCCGTGTTGACAGGTCGCCAGCTGGTGTACCAGCACCCCTTTGGCAAGCGTGTGCTGGGCCTCCTGTGCACCCAGGCCGTCGAGATGCCCTCCTCAGTCACAGCCTCGCTCGCCATCACGGTGATCGACAAGATGGGCAAGCCGCACGCCGACAAGCCCACTGTCTGCCCGCTGACACTCGTGTGCACGGCGGCTGCCGGCAAGGGCAAGGGCAAGGGTGGTAAGGGCAAGCCCGAAGACGCCCCTGCGGACGACACCGCTCCCGAAGCCGAGGCCCCCGAGGCGCCTGAGGCGCCCGAGGAGGCGGCAGCTGGCAAGGGCAAAGGAGGCAAGGGCAAAGGGGGCAAGGGCAAGGGCGGCAAGGGCAAAGGCGACGCCGGCAAAGGGAAGGGCAAGGGCGACGCCCGCAGCCTCCTCGACACCGGCGTGACGGCTGCGGAGGGCAGCGAGGACCTGCTGCTCGTGTAAGTAGGTACCCACTGGTCAGTGGGTTGCGTAGGTAGCATGGTATGGTAGCCCCGAGGGGGACGGGATGAGAGGGTGGGTGGCTGTGTGTCGATATTGGCCTTCTTGTAATGCATGGAATGATTGGATTGGATTGCATGACATGAGACGAGGTGGTTCCTTCGTACGCACCTATTGACCCCTCTCCCTCGACCCTCCCCCACCTGCTGCTGTTTTTCAAGTCAGCCAGTGCCGCGGGGCGCGTGCAATTTTCCCCTTCCCGGCGACAGGCTGGGCAAACTCTCTCTCTCTCTCTCTGTGTGTGTGTGTGTGTGTGTGTATGAGTGCATCCATCATGGTGGGTGCATCTCGCATTTGCCTGAATTAGTTTTGCCCACCACACGGCACGGCCCAAGCCACACGCCATTTCACACCCGCATCACGGCAGTCATTGCACAAACAACCGAGCCTAAACGCTGGCCGGCCTTTCTTTGCCTCACACACACACACACACACACTCACACACACACACACACAGAAGGGCCGTCTGTGTGGGGCGAAGGGGTGGGTGGGTGGGTGGGGTGGGGTCCGACGGAGCGAGTTTTGTCAAGGCTTTGGTCCTCTCTGACTCATTTCTAAGGCTGCTGTCATGATGCCATCCATGGTGCCTGCCTGGCTGTCTGCCTGTGTGCCTGTGCCTCGATCGACGTGACGTATGTGCGGATACTCGTACATTTATAAGACAGACAGACGGACCGGCACTGACTGCAGTGGGGGGCAGGGCAGTTTTTGAAAAGGACCTTACACACCGACCGACCGACCGACCGACCGACCAGCCGATATGTATACGACAGCACGGCAACCATCATTCTCACCAGGCCAGGTCCACACACTCCACTCCATGTCTGCCTTGTCCAGTCCCACTCACTGGCAGAAAGGCAAACCCACCGATAGATCTCGCACATCTCACACGCGCCATGCCATGGGCACTGCAGCAGATATCGCCACAGCGGGTGATTTGATGTATGGATAAATGAAGCTCTCTCACAGGACGTTCCAGAAAGACAGACACATGACACGCACACAGACACAATGTGATAAACGAGACCAAAGGACAGTGTGTGCCACGCCCGCCACACACGACGAGAAATGTGTGTGGGCCATCGCCCATCTAGAAACCGGCAAGACCTATGACCTACCAATCCCCTGGCTGTGGCCCTTTACTGTGGTGTGGACGTCAGCATCTGGTCGGCCAGCTGCTCCACAGCCTGCACACCGGACAAGGCTTCCACGGGGTGCTCGATCACACCCACTTGGTGCCTGCACACGACACCCACAGATCGATGTGTTGATTGCCATGAGGTGACTGACATCCTGGCAGGTAGGTACTCACTGTATGGCTCCGACGACGCCAAATTGTCCGCCGAGGAGCCCCAGCGCGCCATCGCCGATGACGCCCAGGGCCAGGTCAAACTCAGCCCCGGTGTCGCCCTGCCGCGCCTTCTCCAGGCCAGCAAAGAACCCAAAAGTGGCCTTCTTCGGCTCAGCCTTCTCATCCCTCTGCTCGGCACCTGCACGACCACCAATGCATAGGCAGGCCGCATAGCATATCGGCGCATATGTGTGTGTGTGTGGTGTGTGGTGTGTGGTGTGTGTGACCTTCTTCCTCTTCTGGAATGTCTGGCTTCTTCTCTCGGAGCGCCTCGGCCACATCGGTCAGACCGAGGTCCATGACTTTGCCGCCGACAGCGCCGCCAATCATCGCTCCAGGGGCACCACCGAGCGGCGCGCCAATCAAGCCGAACACGAAGATGCCCGTCGTCCGTGTGGCAAGCTGCAGTGTCTGGGTCGCACCCTGACACAGAGAGAGAGAGGGAGAGGTGCGTGTGTGCAGGGGTGCTGCACGTACCGTACCTCAGTGTCGCCAAACCCCAGGTGTATCCCGGCGTTGAGATGGCCGACGACGGGGCATGCGTCGACCGTGGCATTGACCACCTTCCAAGTGCTCCGCAGGAACTCCTTCTGCGTCTGGGTGGCATTGTCACGCTGACCCAGCGACGCCTCTACCAGTGACCGGCACTGGGAGATCACCACAAAGCAAACATGGCATGGCGGGACCGCACACACAGATATATGGGATGTCGTTGACCGCTTAGCTTACTGCTCCTGCGTGTGCCGTGCGCCAGCAGTGTCGCCTCGAAGCGCCTGCAGGGGATGATTTGCAGGGAAGGGATGAATGAGCCACGCAAATCAAATCGGAGGGTGAGTCCATTGGATCATTTCACTCACTGCATGAGTGCAGTGCTGCTTTTTTTGTCTGCCTGACGTACCTGGTACGCCGACTTGACCTGGCTCACGAAGGGCAGGAGATCTGTGAGCGACTGCGTCGCCATCCCTCTCAGGCCACCAGCTCAGCTCGCGAAGGTTCCGTGAAACCGCTCTCGGAAGAGAAAGGGAAAAGAAGAAGAGGAGCAAACACCCGCCAAGCGCAACCAACCGTTGTCAACAAACCACCCAGCTGTCTGCTTCAGTTTGATCAAAAGAGCAGCATCTCTTTCCTTTTCTTGTTCGAAGAAACAGCCGTACTGTAACAGCCAGAGGCTCTGCCGCTCGTGGTGTATGTGCATCGTCGCCCATGGGCCCTTCGGACCGATAGCTGGCATTTCCGGCACTCTGTGAAGACTTGCCGAGGTGTCCCATCGCCGGCCCATCGCCACACCATGGGCAGTTCAGATGTGGGCTGCGTTGGCCCCGCACGGCGGAGGAGGTCACTCGTCGACGACTGGGTAGCTGGGAGGGCCACTGAGGAGCACAGCACCGGAGGGAGCCATGCACCTACCGCAGGACGTGATCGATGCTCTCTGTTTGTGATGATGATGATGTTGTTGTTTGTGTCGGTGTAGTTCCGCAATGGTTGTCCTTCCCCCCTCCCTCCCTCTCCCATGTCGCCTGAACGCACTCAAGTGAGACGACTATGACCCGGGCACACACACGCACACGCACACACACACACGCTGTGGTGCGTTCATGCCTGTCGCTCTGTGTTCTTGTCTGTCTGTGGATCGCGCCACCATCGACCAGGCGCCAATGTCGCTCCCGAGTGCTCGGGTGAGACAGCAGAGCGAAGACACACGCACAACGAGCAGAGCAGCCAACGAGAGCACTACCACGGCACGGCAGACAACGCTTCGCTGTCTCTCTCTCTCCTGTCTGTGTTGCCTGTGGTGTGGTTACAGCGTCAGATGAGCCCCTTCGGCACCGACTGCCCCCGCCCGGTGGCGTCACGTTCTCACACTCAGGAGCCCGTCGATGGCGATGTCTGGTCTGGCGTTGGCAACTTCGAGGAGCATCTGCTGTGGGCCTTGATGCACCGGCGCGGCACGAGGCGGCTGCCGGGCTTTCGCCTGGACCTCAAAGTCAGAGAGGTGAGGAGGGAGAAAGGGAGAGAGGGAGGAAAAGCCATCCAGACACACGGAGGGAGGCACACAGGGAGGGAGCCATGTATGTGTTGGATGTGTGTGTGTTTCCGCACGCACAGCCTGGTGACCAGATCAAGACGGCCCTGTCGCGGAAGCTGCCCTTCGATGCGGTGCTGTATCGGGTGCCGGACCCCCCGCCCCTCCCCACGTCCCTCTCGTCGCCAGGCATCATCCCACACCCCTCACACCCGTCACTCGCCTCGCCGTGGAGCGACAGACCCACCCCTGCGGCCGACGCGGACCCCACCGCCATGTGGGCGTCGCAGGTGCCGTACCTGGCTGCTATAGACCTCACACAGGAGTGCAGCTTCCCCGGGCTCAAGATTCCCGCCAAAGGTGGGTGGGTTGGGTGAGAGAGAGAGCTTGGCGCGGATGGTTTGGTTGATGGATGGATGGATGGTTGTCTGTGTGTGTGCAGGCAGTGTGCAGCTGATACTGCAGAACCCCGAGGGGACGCCTCTGCGGTGGTTTGTGGTCGACTACGACCTCACCGACATGCCAAAGGTGCGCACCGCAAGCCATCGGCAGGGCAGCCTGTGGGCACTCTGATGCCTGTGGGCACTACTCTCTCTGTGTGTGTGTGTTTGGCTTGGCGGTCCTTGTTCAGGGCACCCACACTTTTGTGAGGCAACGAGTGATCGGTGAGAGAGAAAGGGGCACTCCACTGCCCTGCACCCACAAATGTAGTGTGCCTGCCACAAACGTTGTGCGTGTGTTCGTGTGTTCAGAGGACGGCCGTGAGTACGCCTGCCAGCTGCACATTGTCTCGCCATCAACCAACCGGTAGGTACCATGGCCACTGCACTGCCACTAGGGGCCCATGCCATGTGGCATAGATATCAGTCAGTCCGTCTGTGTGTCTGTCTGTCTGTCTTTGTCAGATATTACATCTACGGCGTCCTCCGTCTGCTCTTCCACCTGCGCGTTGACAACGAACCCAACGAGCCGAGCTCAGACACCCCAAACATCCCCCGCGCCACCTCTCCCCCCTCCCACCCACTCCCCACACCAACAGCAGCAGCACCCGACTCGCCCCCGCCGGCGCGCAGACACCATCACCACCACCACCACCACCACCACAACCACCACCACCAGCACTATCCCACATCGCCGTTCAGGTCAAAACGCCCCGCGGCCATCAGATTGCCGCCCGCGGCGGCAAAGAGCGGCGTGTGCGAGACTTCGGAGGGCGACACGAGCACCAACTGCTGCGCCGGCTATGACATAGAGCGGGTGGAGGACAGTGGGGGGAAGGGCAAGGGGGGCGTGTTCGTCGGCGGCAGCGGGACCCGCGTCAATCGTCGGGTCTTGTATGAGTACCCGACCACCAGGGGGGCTGGGGGAGGTGGTGGTGGGCGGTACTTGGCGATGCCGCGGCACGATGTGCGTGCGATGAAGCGGATGATCCTGGAGAAGCAGAAGAACAAGTGGGGCGGCAGCCACGCCAGCAGCACTTCCACCTCCACATCAGGTACCTGACGTGACTCCGGAAGGAAGATACACACACCAGACAGACGCCACACGAAGGAAGGGCCTCTCTGTTTCTGCCTTTCTGCCTGCCTGCCTGCAGCGGTGCCGTCATCTCCGTGTGAGACCTCGCCATTGTCGTCGTGGTCTCCTTCGCCATGCATCTCGCCCCCCGAGTCGCCAAGCTGGCCTCTCGACACATTCACCCTCCCCGGCCACGCACAGGCTGACACAGAGGGACCCGCCGCAGACGGCAAACGTAAGAAAAGACCTTCCTTCAACACAGACAGGGTGGACAGGGTGGATGCGGCTGTGCGTGTGTGGTGTCCCGTGGATCAGTGACGGATTTGTCCAGTCTGTGTGAGACCGACTCGGCCGACGGCGAGTCGCTGTGCTCACTCGGGCCGCCCTCCCCTCCCCTGTCCCTCTCATGTGCCGTCGATGCCGCCCTCTCACTGCCGGACGCGCAGATCCCGCCATTGCTGATCGACGGCGACACACAGGGGCAGGACAACGTGGTCATCACCATGACTGTCCAGCCCCACGTGCCCCTCCACCCCTTCGCCACGCCCCCTCCCTCCCGCCCCAATGACCCTCCCGCGGCCCTGGCAATGCGCGCCGAGTCAGAGGACAAAGTGGCCACCCGATGGTGTGGCGAGAAGGGGCGGATGGTGCGGCTGCAGAAGGGGCGGTCGAGGTCCTTCGAGGTCGAGACACCCCAGAGCAGCGGCGAGGGCCAGCAGGGACAGGGGAGAGGGCGGTCGGTGTGCAAAGGCACTCAGTCGGTGTGTGAGAGCTGCACGGGGGGACTGCAGAAGACCATCATGGAGGTCACGCGGGAACTGCAGGAGGAGAGAGGACAGACAGACCGGCGGTCCTAGATAGATGCACTCACTGACTTAGCGTAAAGAAACTGCCTGTCGTGCGAGAGGACAGACCGGCGCTCCTCGGCGCCTATTTTTTGACAGACAGACGTGGATGGATGGATGGATGGATGGATGGAGATCAGACGGTTTTCCCGGGGCGGGGCGGGGTTGGGTGGGGCGGGTGTCTTCGCATGTGGGAGTGCGTCGATATGGCAGCTGGCGAGACGTCGACATGAATTCGCGCGTGTGTGAGTGTGCGCATCGAGGAATATGGACCGACGATCCCCGTACGTGCGTGTGCCGGACTCTCGCTGCCCGATGGATGGCGGCTGTTCAAGTACACTTGACAGCAGCAGAACACGTGTCTGTTTGTAGTGTCTGGTTCAGTCAGCTTCGATCAGCACACGCTGGCACCACGTGTGCGTGAGAAATGAGCTCGGCCCTCGTCTGGTACTAGAGATGAGGCCGTGTGAAGTCAGAGCGAGTTGGTTGTGCAGTGTCTCAGCTGATCGATCATGCGGACGGACATCGGGACGCTCTCTGTGCGTGTGCGTATCTTTTTTGTAGTGTGAGGCCATGCATGTGCACACGTACACACACCAGGGGTGTCTGTCTGTCTCAAACAGAATCATTACAGTATCAATGACTCAAGGCCTCAATTGGCACGTGCAGTCCACACAGTCGACAAAGAGAGCGCAACATCCCCAGACGCACCCATGCCATCCATCCTGTCTGTCAACACACACAGCTTAATTGCCTTATGCGCTGCGCTGGTCTCTCCACTCCAGAAATTAATGGGAAAATCGACGTACGGCAAAAATCCCCAACCAAGGTGCAGATGAAAAAGAGGTGCACGTCTCATGCACAGTTTCAGTGTCACAAGCATGCCCCACATGCATCACACTCCATGAAGCATGAAACTTACTCTCTGGCTCTACTGATGTTTCAGCATGCATATCAAGGCAACAGACAGAACAAGCATCCACAAGCAGAGAGGGAAGACATGGCCACACACATACATACTTACACACAACAAATATACATGTCCTGGGTATGGGACCCTGCATGACGGACGGCAAGTAAGGCCGCCACACGACGACAAACTCACTCACTCGACAGCAAAAATCCGACTCACTAGAGGTAAAAACACACGTACGTAGACAGGGAGTGCATCCATCCTCCTACTACTGCATGGAGACCAGAGCGATCACATGCGCATGCACTCCACTCAGCTACGGCGCCATGAGCCCTTCCACGGCTTTCTGCAGGGCTTCAATCGGGCCCGGCGCTGCGTTGCTGCCACTGCTGCCCTGCTCCAGGCGAGAAATGCGCTCCAGTATGGCGTCATTGGCCTTCATCAGCTCTCCAATCGTCTCGTTCATGGCCTCATTGGCCGCCATCAGGTCCGCCTTGGCCCTCTTCAGGTCCTCAATCGTCTCGCTCTGGTCTTCATTGGCCTTGATGATGTCTTGTGTGACGCCCATTTGCGTGTAGAGCAGCTGTGTAAGGTCGATGGTCATCTCCTCAGCCGGAGCCTCGGCAGCGGCGGCATCTGTCGCCCCTTCGCCATTCCCTCCCTCCTCCTGCTCGTCATCATCAGCTTGACGCACGTGTGGCACGAACGTCTTCACAGCCGACGGGAAGATGTGCTGCACCTCAGCAGCGGCCAGGCCGAGCCGAGCGTCGCCGTCGGCGCGCACACGCAGCTGTCTGAAGGCCTCATAAGCCGCCGATCGGTCGCTGTCGCTCCATTCAGCCATGGAGGTCGGAAGCTGCTCGCTGTCGGCGCTGTGGATCTCGAACGCGCCTGCAACCGCCCGGCTGGTGATGACTCGAGATCCGCATTCGCACCTGTGAGCGTCCAGTGTTGGGGCGCGGAGTTCGTCTCGTGCAGTGACATCGTCAGCAGCTTGGACATCGTCATCGGACTGCACGTCCCTTTTTGCTACGACATCACCTTCGTTCACAACATACTCTTGGGGGTCGCCCGCCTGCACGCCTGAAAGATAAGCCATCTCAGGGAGCTCCAAAGAACACGTCTGGTCTGTGTAATGGAGCTTACGGCCGCCAATGACCCTTTCAAAGGCACGCACCACTGGTCCAGCGACTTCCGCACGGGCAATCACGTTCCCTTCCGACATGACGTGGGCACCTTTCGCCTCAATATTGAAACCGGCCACAATATTTCTCTCAGCAACGACATCGCCATGGTCCGCTGCTTGGTCAGGATCGCCCGCGATAAGGCCTGACCAAGCAGCGTGGAATAAGAGCTTCGTTCATTTGTCCGTTGAATTCGATCAGCTTACTGTCGAATGCCTTAACGTCGCCGATTGCCTCAACGTCGCCGAATGCCTTAATGTCGCGACCCCCAACGATGTCACCAGCCGCCCACATGCCGGCCTTCGCCGTCACCATCCGGTCGGCGATGACATTCCCTTCAGCCACAATATCACCGTCGCCCACGAACGTATCGGGATTGCCCGCAACGATCTCTGCCAGCACAACCACCACAAGCAAGTAGGTGCATCCAGCGGTGCGTCTGTCTTTCGTCCATTCCTCCGTTTGGCTCACTCTTGCAACCGCCGTCGTCCTGACGAATGCAAGCAGTCACACGTTTAGCCCACCCACATGGGTTCAGGCGTGCTCGTCCGGTGTGTTCACGTGTGTGCCGTTCCTCCGTCATCACTCACCTCTGGCTTCTCCGGGTCACACACACTTTGTCCACGATGGACGGTGAAGGCGAGGCAGACACCGACGAGGAGGGCGAGGCGAGGAAAGGCCATTCTGTCGGAGAAAGGGATCGGCCGTTAGCGGCGTTAACGGCCAGATGTGCGCGTGAAGCGATGATGAGAAGGGTGAAGGGTGACAGCTCGTGTTCCAAGGAATTGGCCCGATGAGATCCGCTACCTCGTCACGAGCGTCGCTGAAGATGACTCATGGGATGCCATACCCCGGCAACACATCCCTGCCTCCGATGGCCTGCAGGGGCTGCGCATCCAGGAGATAACGGACGAGAGCCATCCGCTGGTGGGCGAGTAAGTGAGCGACGCACTCGATGGCCCATCGACGTGTGTCACTTTCGATGAAGGCTGTGCTGTGCGCTGCATGGTGCGGGGCGGTTGGTGTGTCTGCAGACGGTGCCTGGTCGCTGCGAGAAGGTCAACCAACTGCAATTAAGAGGAGAAGGAGAGCCACACAGGCTACTTGATCATGGTTTCATGCGATGATTCCATTGTGTTGGGTTGGTTGCCTCCCTGCCTGTCTGTGTTCTCTTGCAGATGGGAGCCCTTTGAAGTGCTCGGCGAGTAGGTCTGACTGACGTCGATGGAGCAGTGGGTGGATGTGACGTGCTGCCCTGTCTGTCCCCCCGCCCTTTGTTGTGTTGTGTGCTGCAGGTACACGGGGTACCTGGTCCCGCCGTCACGCGATGGCCCATACGTCTGCAAAGTGAGCGGGTGGGCCGGCCACAGAGGGCCGACAGATAGAAGTGCTGCTGCTGATGACATGGATTTCTGTGCATTGGCCGCAGTTGGTGCAGGACGAGGCCGACTGGGAAGCTGTGTCGGTCGACGCATCCAAGTACGGCCGCTTGCTCATGCGCCCTCCTGTGGTCATCGGCATCCATGTGTGGTGTCCGTCAGGGCCGGGAACGAGCTCCGTTTTGTCAACGACTATCGCGGCATCGCGGAGCAGCCCAACGTCACGTTCAGCAGCTGCTTCATCGACGGGCTGCCGCGGACCCTGCTGGTGGTGACGAGGCCTGTGGCCTTCGGTGAGGAGTTCTTGGCCGATTATGGTCAATCGTATTGGGCGGCGAGGGGTGGTGGCTCAAAGGGGGGCGGGGCAGATGAGTGAAGTGAATGGATGCGGCGAATGTATAGGACGTACAGTTAGCGATGGACGTGTGTGTAAAGGAAACAGATTGCTTGGCCTTCGTTTGGTGCATCTTGATTGACGGATTTCGCGAACAGCGTCAATAAGTCACATAAAGCATTCAAGGGGCTCTCTCTGACATATGTGTAGCACAGTAGCATTATCACCATGTACCAGGGCTGAAGCTATGTACAATCACACGACCCCAATCTCATTCACCCCCCTGCTAGCTGATGTTGTGCTGTTGTACGGGTGGTGCGTCTGGGCCACTCCCCCCGTCGGGCACATCGACCAGAGCGACGACCGTGACGGCTTTGGTGTGTCCGGTGTAGTCGATGGCCGTCTGGCCCGTCTTAACCTCCCACAGCTTGGCCGTCGTGTCGGACGAACACGTCACCACATAGGCACTGTCGCTCGAGAAGATACCGCCCCACACCCACCTGCAACGCAATGGACGGACGCATACGCACAGACACAGCCGGCCACGTGGCGGCCTGCCGTCACGCCGGCTGAATGTGTGACTTAAGTACCTGATGTGACCGATGAGCGAGGTCTCCTTGGCGAAGCCGTCGACATGATAGCGCCACAGACAGGCATTGCCTGACACACAGACGAGAGGGAGTGAGCGACCATTCTCCCCTTCGCCGCCTCGTTGTGTGCGCCTCTCACTCACTGTCGGCCGATGTGGTAATCAGATACTGCGACTGAGGGCAGAACCTAATGCGCAGCACTGAACACACACACACCCAGACACACACACATTGACCTTAGACGTCGCTGCCTAGCCCCCTGCTGCCGTCCACCGTGTGCCACCATCCCATGCTGTCTGACCGTATGCGCTGTGGGCGTCGATTTTCTGCATGGGATCGAGAGTGTCTGGCAGGTACCGCCAGACAAACAGGGTGCCCTTGTGGTTGGCCGCGGCCGCCAGCCGCCCGTCGGCCGACAGCGCGACGGTCTTGATGGCCACGGCCTTGTCTGGCGCGAGCACCTGGCGGATGCGGTTGGCACTGAGGTCCCAGACCTGCACGCGGCCCTCCTGGTCGCCCAGCAGCACCTCTGCTTGGTTGGCATGCAGCGCCGCCCCGTGGACAGGCACCGGCGCGCCGGCCGTGGTGGCCATGGTGGCCGTGGAGGTGCTCTCGTTGTCGAGTGAGAGCTGGTAGCCGGTGCCGCGGCAGTCCCAGATCTTGACGCTGCTGTCCTCGCTGGACGAGAAGAACCAGCGGCCGGTCTTCTCGAACCCGACGCTCGTAACGTTGCTGGTGTGTCCGTCCATGGTGCTGACGGCCGTGTTGCTGGCGGATGCCAGGTCGAAGAGCTTCATGAGGGGGTTGCCGGCGCAGAGCACCTGGGTCTTGTCCGGGGTGACCTCCAGGCAGTTGATGTGTGAGTCATTGTAGGGGATGGTGCGGAAACACTGACCCAGGTGGGCATTCCAGTAGCGAAGGGTGTGGTCGTATCCGCCGGTTATCAGCAGAGGCAGATCCATGAGTCGAATGAGTCTGTCAGCGGTGGCACCCGTCATAGATGCAGCCGCTTCGACAGCGAAATGTCGGCGTCATCGTTAGTATACCTCTTCGGTTCT